GCAGTGAAATCTCCTGAACAGCCAATACTCGCAGAGTGCAGGAATATCTATACACTGACGGATCACTCCATGCTAGAATACAAATTACTTTCTACAGGTCACTGACCTGATATTCTTCTGAACATGCTGTAAGAAATATTCTCTCAATTTGAACAGCAGTCACCTATGAAAGCTCTTATATGTAGCTCAAGCTCGAGTCGAGCAATGTTTCACAGATTTTTGAGACACAGCAGTATGGCTTGCTTTGAGATGTGGTCAGCCCTGTGTATCCCACAAATTATGTATCCACAAATGCAACCCATCTATGACTTCAAAAATTTCTTTCTAAGAATTCCAAAGAGCAAATTTTGCTATTTTATGTAAGGGACTATGCTGCTGTATATAATGGGGCTTAAGCACACATAGAGTTTGGTTCCCAGTGAAATTCCTGGAATATCAAGGACCTACAGTAATATCAAGGACCTGGAATATCAAGGACCTACTGTAAATATATTTAGAATGGTTCAATGATCAGCATTCAATGGATATGGACCTAATGTAGGCTATTAAGGCTTCATTCTATGCACATTGTGTGACCTCCTGTGATACATACATTTGGATGACCACAGAGATTTGGGGTGTATGTCATATAATGAAGTCAAGAACACTTATATCAGCAAGAGCACTGAAATAGGAAATTCAGTTGAGGCAAAATGCTGTGAATTAATTTGAACTAAAATAGCTCACAAAATAGACAGGTTGACTGAAAACTTCTTCATTTTACTAATATTAGCTATCTTGTGCTAAGAAGCCACCACTCTCCAAGCCTTCCATATACAACTGAAGACATGGCTCTTTAGACAAGTCTTTGACCATATCTAGAAATTCAAGGACCTACAGATTTTTCACCATGCAAATTATGAGACTGATATTGATTGCAGTTTGTTTTGTATTCTGCAGCTATTGTTGCATTTTATTGATCTTAATCAGGGGGATTTTGTGATGTTGGTGTTAATTGTTGTTGTTTTCTGCACTTTTTCTATATTGTGAGTTTGCACCTTTAAGTGCTTTGTGAGCCACCTCATGTACCTCTGTGAGATGGTGGTTGGGTATAAATAAGGTTGTTGTTGTTGTTGTTGTTGTTGTTGTTATGATCTTCGCTGGGAGCTTGACAGGGGGAGTGTGTCCCTGTTAGTGCTGCTGGACCTCTCAGCAGCCTTCGATACCGTTGACCACGGTATCCTTCTGGGACGCCTCGAGGATATGGGACTCGGGGGTACTGCATTGCAGTGGCTCCGGTCCTTCCTCGAGGGACGGTCTCAGAAGGTGTTACTGGGTGACACCTGTTCGGCCCCACAACCGTTGTCGTGTGGGGTCCCACAGGGATCAATTCTGTCCCCGATGTTGTTTAACATCTACATGAAGCCGCTGGGAGAGATCATTCGGAGTTTCAGACTAAGATGTTATCTCTACACAGATGATGTCCAAATCTGTCACTCCTTCTCACCTGTCACCAAGGAGGCTGTCCAGACCTTGAACCGGTGTCTGGCCGCTGTATCGGACTGGATGAGAGCTAACAAATTGAAATTGAATCCAGACAAGACAGAGGTCCTACTGGTCAGTCGTAAGGCCGAACAGGGCATAGGGTTACAGCCTGTGTTAGACGGGGTTACACTCCCCCTGAAGACGCAGGTTCGCAGCTTGGGAGTGATCCTGGACTCATCGCTGAGCCTGGAACCCAGGTCTCAGCGGTGGCTGGGAGAGCTTTTGCACAATTAAAACTTGTGCACCAGCTGCGCCCGTACCTTGGGAAGTCGGATCTGGCCACGGTGGTCCACGCTCTTGTTACATCCTGAATAGATTACTGCAATGCGCTCTACGTGGGGTTGCCTTTGAAGACTGTTCAGAAACTTCAATTAGTCCAACGGGCGGCGGCTAGATTACTCACCGGAGCATCATACAGGGAGCATACCACCCCCCTGCTATGTCAGCTCCACTGGCTGCCGATCCAGTTCCGAGCACAATTCAAAGTGCTGGTTTTGACCTACAAAACCCTTTACGGCTCCGGCCCAGCGTACCTGTCCGAACGTGGAATGCACTCCCTGGGGAAATTAGGACATCAATATCCCTCCTTTCCTTCAGGAAGAAGCTAAAAACCTGGATGTGGGACCAGGCCTTCGGGTAAGCTGGCAGAGGGACAAAGACAACCAATAATGACCAGAGTAGGAAAGGATAATGACAATGCTAAATGGTTTATGGACTTGGATTTGGTGAACACTGACCACAAGATGTTTTTATTGCTGCTAGTATATTGTCTGATGGTTTTAATCAGTTATAACTGTGATATTATGTGGTAAATTTGTGTATTGTATATTGCATTGTATGTTGTAATTGTTAGGCATCGAATTGTGCCTTTTGTAAGCCGCCCTGAGTCGCCACTAGGTGGTTGAGAAGGGCGGGGTTGAAGCACCCCAAATAATAAATAAATAATAATAATAATAATTATAATTATTATTATTATTATTATTTCTGTATATAGCAGCTACTATCAAGCAACAATAACTTAACACACCTACAGTACCAGCATAGGTAAAGGGAAAAGGTAAAGGTTTTCCCCTGACATTAAGTCTAATCATGTCTGACTCTGGGGGTTGGTGCTCATCTCCATTTCTAAGCCGAAGAGCCAGTGTTGTCTATGGACACTTCCAAGGTCATGTGGCCAGCATGACTGCATGGAGCACCGTTACCTTCCTGCTGGAGCAGTACCTATTGATCTACTCACATTTGCATCTTTTTGAACTGCTAGATTGGCAGAAGTTGGGGCTGACAGCCGAAGCTCATGCCACTCCCTGGATTCAAACCTGCGACCTCTTGGTCAACAAGTTCAGCAGCTCAGCAGTTTAACCCATTGCGCCACTGGGGGCTCCTTATTATTTGGTAAAGAATTTGTGCAGGCAGTTCTTTGAAACTGAACTGGAAAATATCCTGCAATAAACTGTTTTCAAAAATTCAATTAAAAATCACAGAAAGCCAGTAGTATAATTCTTAGGCAACACAATTCTAAACTGAGAAAATGTAAACTGATTAAAGACATTGTAAATTCTCAACAGAATGCTGACCACACAATATGCCATCAGCCTATCTGAACATTTTCAGAAATTACATAACCTTAACTACATCACTGAAATGAGATCCGATGACGTCTTTACAGATCGTTGATTACAATCTGATTCTTGTTTATTACCCCATCATAACTGGAGCAGGCAGAATGGGCCATCTCAATGTGTGCGGGGGAGGTAGTTACATGTGTGAAGGAGAAGAAGCTGCTGCTGCTGCTGCTATTGTTGCTGTCATCCTGATTTTCTTTCTTCGTTGAAACCCAAAAACAGCTCAATAAATATCAGAAGCTCTGCCTTGTGAGAGTGTAGATACTTTTTGTTTAGGTACAGCCCATTGGAGACAAACAATGTATTTCCACCACATTTCTGGAAAAAATACCTAGACACGTCTGATGTCATGCTGGAGGCAACAGTCTAAGCTAAGACCCCTTCACACAGTGCAAGATTCGGCGGCAGCAACAGGTTTTTGCCTTTTCACTACAGAGCCTGCTGACTCCCATCACTCAGTAAAAGTGCTTCTGTGATGACTCTATGGCCGAACTTGCATAAAAATTCTGCCACCGCCAAAAAATTGCCAGTGGCACACAACAGGAGGCCACTGGCTCGACTCATCTTTCCATTAGAAAAGATGAGTCGAGCCAACTTAAAGAAACTTCACCCCGGTGTGATGAGGTAGGGGGGAAGCAGGGATGGTGCAGGGAAACAGGTCCCTATACAACCTGAGCAGGCACTGCAGGAATCACCAAGATCCATGGCAATATTGGGCAATTCCAGCAACGTTTGTGACAAGGTAGTTTTTCCTAACATTCCAAAACTAACTGAGAGAAGACATGTCACACATATTCCAGTTATTAATATTTATACCCTGGCCCTTTCACAGTAACCATTTTATAACATAAAATTGCCTTAATTATTAGATCATTTCAAGACATTCTGTGGGATTTTCCAAATGCATTTGGAGTTTCAAAAAGAAATAAATGAATCAAAATTGCAGAATGTAATGCAGTGTAATCAGAAAGTCCAGATACAGTCAATGAGATTGCATCAAATTGTAATCTTGATCACATACTTCTTACACAAAAGAAAATCCAGTTTATTTTAAAGGGATTTACTTGCTTGTCAGCGAGCAAAAAATTGTAGCCTCAGCAAGTGGTCCTAAACATCCTTAGTGGACAGAAAAGCCCCGCTTGGCACAGTAGGGTTTATTGCCAAAGAAATCCAGGGGGTTGTCAGTAAATCTTCCTGGCCTTGTCAGCGTCATATTGTGAAGGCAGTATTCACAATCTGGAGGTGGTAATTTAAAAACCCAGTTGAAAATTTCCCTTGTCCTACTTTGATAGTTTTACTTTACAGTTGTTTTACTTCTGAGGATTTTTAAAGTAACATTTATTGTTTCCAGTTAAAAATGCTGGTATATTGGTCATGGTTTTCTTCATTTCTGCATTCTCTGAGTTTAAAATGAAGGAAGCTAACTTATAGAATAAGGAAATCTATTATTTATATGTTTATTTAATTATTTATTTATTGGTCTGTCAGTTTGTTCTTATATTTTATTAAATGTGAAAACATATACAGTAAGACACAGAAGATATGTTCCCTGACTTTGTGTGGATATGCAAAACCATAGATAATAGTACTCTATTGAAATTAAAGACTTCCAACCCCAAAATACCATAGAGTTATACTGGAGGATCTAGAAAATGTCTAGCCATTACCTATTTTGTCAGGGGTGGATACATTGAAACATTGATACTGGTCACTTATTGCATGCTACGGTAATGTGTTTAGGTTCAATTATACATCTGTATAAAATTGTGACAAAAAACAAAATAAACATACAATATTATTGGTTAGTTAGAAATGTTAACATTAAGTATCTCTTCCATTGAATAAGTGACTTACCCTGAGCCTCTGGACTTGGCAGCCCTGTTTCTCTGTCATCTTAAGAAAGTGGTTGAAGTTAGATTCGTCCAGTAGAAGATACACTGAAATTCCCTTGGTGGATGCTTCTACAATTTCTTTGAAAATATCTACATCTGAAAAAATATCCATAACTATAGCAATGACCTGTAGAAAAAGAAAAAAAAGAAATAAAGGTTAGGTAAGGGTAAAGGTTTTCCCCTGACATTAAGTCCAGTTGTGTCCAACTCTGGGAAGGGGTGCTCATCTCCATTCCTAAGCTGAAGAGCCGGCGTTGTCCATAGACACCTCCAAGGTCATGTGGCCAGCATGACTGCATGGAGCGCCGTTACCTTCCAGTTGGAGTGATACCTATTGATCTACTCACATTTGCATGTTTTTTAACTGCTAGGTTGGCAGAAGCTGGGGCTAACAGCGGAAGCTCACACCGCTCCCCGGATTCGAACCCACAACCTTCTGGTCAACAAGCTCAACAGCTCAGCGGTTTAACCTACTGTGCCACCATTAGGCACCTTTTAATAGAGTGATTCTAAGAATATGAAATATATGAGTTGTACGTGAGGTGGCTACTGCTCAAATGTGTTCATTACTCGTAAAAACAAAAGCTGTTATGTCAGTCAATGAAACATAAATAACCTATAGTCACAGAATTACTTTATTATCAACCAACTAAAATGCCATAAAACTGTGCATACAAGATTTCTAAAACCTTTTCCAAGGGACAAAAAAAAGTTGAGGAAGAAACATGATACAGTTAGCCCTCTGTATACATTGATACTGCATCCATAGATTCCATCATCCACAACTGGAAAATATTTTTTTTTTGAAAAATCCAAAAAACCAAACTTTGATTTTGCTACTTTATATAAAGGGCACAATTTCACTATACAATGGTATATAATAATAGGATTTGAGCACCCACAGATTTTAGTATATACAGTAGGTCCTGGAACCAAGCCCCAGTGGATAGCAACAGCCTGAAAATTTGGCTGGTTATTGCACCATTACGGCTGTTCAGTACCAAGACAGAGATTACAGATTTTCATGTGTTTATAGGCCCCTTTTGTAACATTGTATATACCTGGAAACCTACAGAACAGAATTAAGTCACAATACATGGAAGCACATAAAATCATTTTAAACAAAGGTCAGATAGCAAGGAATACAATTAATGAACGTCAGTGTAAATTCTTCCAGAGACTTATTCATTTTCAATCTGAAAATATAAGACTTAATTCATGAATTCACCCCAAACTTTTGAGTTTAAAAAATTCACCTGAACACTGGTAGAGTTGTGGTTGCATGTCCCTCAGTGGATCACAATGGACCAATTTATAAATTATTTCCTTGGTTTGCTGTGAGCCACCATGACTCACATTTTTGGGAGAAAGTCAGGACATAAATAAAAAACAAGGTACTATACTGATAAAAAGACCGAAATGAAGAGAAAAGCTTATAAAATATTACATAATATCCAATACTATGGGAGATGCTATTGGCCATTTGGAGGTTAAAAGGTAACTTTTCAGCTACACAAATCTGGAGCGCTGGAGATGCTGGAAATGCTAAATGGGGGAGAAGGTTTAAAGATCACACCAGGAATAATGTTGCCCACATTGCTCACTGTATGAAAGAGACTAGATACATTAGGGACAGAGGGACATAAGGCTTCAATACTTCCATTTGCTACATGTTAGTGCTGTGGAATTTGAAAGGGCACAAATGGAGGGCAAAAGGGAGAAATGTGCCAAGAGGAAGGCATTAAGCCAACCCTGACCGGAACCACCTTCCACCTAGAAACCGATGTCCTCACTGTGGAAAAACATGTGGGTCAAGAATAGGGCTCAAAAGTCACCTATGTACGCACCACCAAAACACTACACTTGGAAGACCATCATACTTGGATGATGAGGGATAGCCTAAGTAATTAATAAGTAACTATATGTTATGCTACATATTCTAAGGACCCGATTGTAGGTCCTCAGATGTTGTTGAACTTCAGCTTCACAAATCTGGGACCACTGTCCATGTGGGCTGGGCTTCTAGGGGCTGAAACAACAGCATCTGAGGGCCCACTAAACTAAATTGCATTTTTCAGCTGGAGTCATTTTTTTTCTAATTCAAAATGCAAGGGAGATAATTCAGCACTTGTCAAAAGTTTTGATTAAATTCATAATTCCAAATATATTCCAACAAAGGTTATGACATTTCAAAAACGCAGTGAGTGAGGAGTGCTTAGCTTGGCTCATTGTTAGGACAGCTAACAGTGGAAATAAAAATGTATTCAACAAGCATCACTCAAGGTTCGTAAGGCTAAAGCGCAAAATGAGCTCAGGCTTGCCAGGGAGATGAAAAACAATAAAAAGAGGTTCTTTGGTCATGTCAGTAGAAAAAGGAAGAAAAAAGAAATAGTAGGGCCTCTGCATGGAGAAGGTGAAAAAGATCTTGGAGTGGGTGATGCCTGGCTCGACAACAGTCCATGTGAGAAAGATCTTAGTGGGTAACAAACTGAACATGAGCCAACAGTGTGATGCAGCAGCTAAAAAGCCAATGGGATTTGGGACTGCATCAAAAGGAGTATAGTGTCTAGATCGGGTGACGTCATGGTTCCTCTATATTCTGCTTTGGTCAGACCTCACCTGGAATACTGTGCTCAATTCTGGGCATCAAAAGAGGTATTAACAAACTGGAAAGTGTCCAGTGGAGGTTAACCAAACTGACCAAAGGTCTGGAGACCAGGCCCTATGAGAAGCATATTAAAGAACTGGGCATGTTTAGCCTGCAGAAGAGAAGGTTGAAAGGAGACATGATAGCTCATGTCTATTATGCCTGCTGTCATATGGAAGAGGCAGCAGGCTTGTTTTCTGCTGCCCTGGAAACTAGGACTCAGAGCAATGGGTTCAAATTACAGGAAAAGAGATTCCACCTGAACATTAGGAAGAACTTCCTGACTTTGAGAGCATTTCAGCAGAAGTACTCACTGCCGCAGCATGTGGTGGAAGCTCCTTTTAAACAGAGGCCGGAGGGCCATCTGTCAGAAGTACTTTGATTGTGCTTTTCCTACATAGCAGGGGGTTGGACTAGATAGCCCACGTGGTCTCTTCCAACTCTATTATTTTATGATTCTAAGCACTTCTAAGTGTGGCAGAAAATCTAAATGCGTGTATCAAAACTGAATTAAATATCTCCCCTGAAGATTTTGAAAGCTAAAAACGCATTCAGAAGAGGAGTTTGGAGGCAACTATTTTTTTAATGTTTTATGGAAGGATGCTAGAACTTGTCAACTCTACATAATAACATATGATATATAATCCCTCTAAAATGCAATAAACTATTTGCATGTGCTAAATGCACCTAAAGGTTTCATTCAGAACTGTACAACAGCAAGCATAGAAGGGGAAAATAATAAATCCATCTATTGCCAGCTGTTCAATCTGTTCTGACTGCTTTTCTACCCAGTCTCTGTTCTATCCCCTGATGTATTTACTTTTGGTTGTGTTAAAAATAATTTTTAGGTTAATAAGTAAGTTGATAAATCATATTTAAGTACTAACTGTAGGCTGGAATGGGTTGACAACAACACTGTGATGATTATGAGAAGATGATAGTGGTATCGAACAAGATATGTTGCATGCAAAACGTTTACAGGTTCTTTGGCACACAACATTGCTTTTTCTGATTACAAAACAATTTATTTCTATGGAAATAAATATACACACAAATGCTGTTTCCTCTGTGGGCAATTGTATAGTTGATTTCTTCCATTCACAAAATGTTGTTTCCTCTGTATTATAGTTGAATTATTCTGTGCAAAATTTGGTTGTTTTATATAGAAAAAAATTAATGCAGGAAGCGGCTTTTTCTGATTTGGAAAATGATACCTGTAGAAATATTATTTTCCATGCAAAACAAAAGTGCTGGAACCAACACAAATATGATATATGTGTATTTTATGCTTATTTATATCCTTGTAATTTGGGTTTATACAATGTGCGTTTTAATGTTTAAATGTTGCGTTGTGGGACGAGGGGTTTTGTGTTATATATTATGTACCTGCTGTGGTCTTATGCTCACAACTTTGAGTCCCATTCATGGGACAAAAGTGGGATTAAATAAATAAATAAATAATGTTGTTTCTGTGCAAAATCACCATATGATAATTTCACACAAAATAAGTCCCAAATTCTGAATGGTGTTTAGAAACTGTTTCTTGCAGCAGGAAGAAAACCGAGAAGAAATATAGCTAAGAATGACATTCCCGTCTGTAGTTGATGTGAATGTAAAAACTATTTCCCAATATTCCTTTGTAGATACTGAGATATTATGTGGAAAGAATGACCACCCGATTTTTCATATCTTAGGATGTTCTTTGTGATAACTTCACTGGTGCCCTGTTTTTTGTATAAAACAAAAATACTTTGCGAAAAACCCAATGAGCTTTTCATGTTCACAAAACCAATGTTTTTGCAAATAAACATCCAGACAGGAAAAAAAATGAATAATTTATAGTTATGCCAACTAAGGGTAACATTTTGAAATTCTTTCTTCCTATATGCAAGAAGGTGAAAATACTGTCCCCAGACAGCTTTCCAATAGGCCCAGGATCAAAGTTATGGAACATTTCATTGAAAACTAAGAACCTGTTCTTGCTGAACAACCAGGGAGTAACACCAAAGTTAATAATTTGTGTTCTGAGTGAACAATGAAGCTTTTGAGCATTTCACTCATGTGTTGTAGGAGGTATATCTGAATGATGTTTTTTGACTTTCATGTGAGGCTGCAGTAAGCCAGTCCAGATCAAGGGTATAAAAGGAATACACCAAAAGGGATCATATTAGGGCATCAAAAAAGCAGTCCTCCTTTCCATTATCTATAAATGATTTTCTTCCAAAGCTATGGCAGCAGGGTTTTCTTTAATGACAACATTGAGATAACGGTAGGAAAAAAAGAACTTCTTAATGGATATGGAATAAATATCGTAGCTCTGCAGAAACTTTATAGCTTATCAAGAATTTGGATCTCAGTTTTTCCATATCTAGCAACGCATACAACACACTGACTTTCTACTTCGTGCATCTACAACAATTTTAACCAGCTGAATATAACTCTCATTCAAACCAATTAGACTTTTTCACTAGTTGTTAGGT